TAAACTCATAGTTAAATTCCATTTTTCCATAAACTTTTCAAATCCCTGTCACATGTTGTGACCAGATTGTAATGGGGAAACTTAAAATCTAGTCAGTTTTTAACAAATGAGTTTTAAAGCCAGAGAGCTGTGTTGCTCAGATGACAAATCTGGTGGCATGTCACGGGGTGAAGGAATTAATTGAAGGTATCATAATTGTCTCAGTGAATGGCTTAAAAAAATCATGGGAGACTCTCCAAAAAGAAAAAAAAATCATGGGAGAGAAAAATAGGACTACAAAGAACAGAACTGGGGTCTTGTTTGGTTCATTTCCTTAAGGAGAAGGTAAGATACATTGAGTTCAAAGAGTTTGAAGGATCTCGTGAGTATTAAAGTCATGGAGGTCATCAGAAAGAGATGGCTAGGAAAAGACACTATTTTAAAATTTTGTTCATTTATTTATTTTTTGCTTTTACAGAGGGTACATATACTTGCTAGAGAGAGACAGAGAGAGAGAAAAAGTGAGAAAGCACTCCCCATGGGACTCACACTGCAATCTGTTCTTCATTTCTCCCTCCTTTTGAGACTTGGCACTCATGCACATGCACCTAATGTGCTTTTCACATCAGGTCTAGGATCCCAACTGCTCAGTCCACCATGTGGGATATGCCACCCCAACCACCAGACCACGGGCTGACCTAAGAAAAGACTATTAATCAAGTACTAAAACCTTGAAAGAAAGGATTGAGGAGTGTCTTGGAAGGTGGTAGATAATAGATGAGAACGATGTTTGTTCACGCTTTGGTTCATGTATTAATTAAAAATACCTGTCTTTGAGAAATTACTCCATCCAGCACTGGGGATATAGACACCAAAAGACACATTAAGTCAGCAGCATCAATCAAAGGCAGAGCATGTCTTTGGGCAAAGAAAGGTTCCAAGATTAGTTAACAGTACTAGAAAGTGTAGAATTATAGGTTTGAGGATAATGCATGGAAGTCAACAGGAACTTGTTAAAAAAAGGATAAAAGATGTTCCTACTATGCAAGCTTCCTCAGACAAAAAAAAAAAAAAGAGAGGCAGAGCAAACAATGTGCACGCTGGATTCTTAGCCCCTTTTAAGAATTTTTCCCAGAAATCATCCGCTTACTCTCAAACAAGGGTCATATGTCTACTAATATACATAGAGTCTGGGAAATGCAGAATTTAACTGAGAACATTTTCATACTCAACAAGTTCTGTTATAAAGAAGGCAAAGAATGGACATATTTTTATTCTGTCCTCCTGATCAATTAACATCTTGCTGGAATATAGAAGTCTAGGTTAAAAATAATTTTTCTTTAGAATTTTAATGCATTGCTTCCTTGTGTTCCAGTTTCCAATGTTACTCTTGAGAAATCATGACTTTCTGAATCTCATTTCTTTGTTAGATGACCTGCTCTTTGCCTCTTTAAAATCTTAGCATCTTTCCTACCTCCACTGTTCTAAAGTGTCATAAATAAGGTATTTGTATTGATTATTTTTTCACTGTTTATGTGTGATATTTGGAAGTTTTTCTGGTTTGTTTCTTTACCAGAGAGTATACATGCTCACCTGAGAGAGAAAGAAAATGAGAACGTACCCACAACAGGAAATGATCTCACCACAATTCCTCTCCTCCATCTCTTCCTTCTTCCTTGTTTCCCTCTCCTTGGAATTTTTGGCACAGACGTACTGCGCCCAGCATGTTTCTCAAGCCAATGGGTCTACATGACATCAGTCATGTGATATCCAGCCACTTTAAGCACCATACCACCAGCTGCCCCTGGAGAGTTTTTCAATCATGAACCTTCTTCCTTATTTATTTGAAAGTCATGTCTGCCTCTACCTTCAGTTAGGATGTCTGCCCTCCTGGATGTTTCCTTGGTTCTGTCTTCCAACTCTTCTACTGATTATTTAAATTTCAGTTATCATTTTCAATTTGCAAGAGCCCCCATTTTACTCTCTAATTGTTACTAATTATAATTAGCAATTTTCTATAATTATATCATTATAGTATAGCAGGCTTTTAAGTGAGGTCTTAAATAAATTTGGAGTTTGGACTGAAACTCAAAGCCAAGGATGCAATCCACACCCATATTCCAAAGGAAAATGCTAGGCATTCATTCAGGACTCAAGTTCCCACAGTAAAATGAGTCCTATGACCTTAGTTTGCTCACCTTCTCACCTCTAGCCCATGTAAGAATAAAGAACAGGAAATAAAAAGGCTAGAGACTCTTGAGAACGAGTCATTATATTGAAAAGAATTATATGTGGTAGTGTGAACATTTAAAGTGAATTGTTTGTAGTCTTGTGGTTAAGGGAGCCAGATCCTAAATGGTCAACAGTGGTTCAAATCCTGGCCCAGGTGGCTTGATGAACACACTGGGTGTGTGTATACGCATGTCCCAGATCCTAGCAGAGTGGAGAAATGGAAAAGGGGTTGCAATGTAATCACAATCCATCAAGGGGTGTTTTCTCATTCTCTTTTTCTGTTTTTCTCTCTGTCTCTCTTGGGAGAGTACACACAGTCTCTGGCAATTTAAAAAAAATAAAAAAAGTGGATGCCTTTCTCTACCCCTCAGGCCAAGAAAGGAGATGCTTCACGGGGCACACATTGGGATTATCCGCCAGGAGTGGAGACTGACATCTAAGCACCCAGACAGCTGCTGCTGAGCTACAGAAACCTGTGCACCTACTCTGTGCTGCTATTTGGGCACAGTGTGAGGAAAGAGTTTTCTTAGGAGAACTAGAGAACTAGACCCATGTCCCCAAAGTTAGGGGGTCAGATGGGAGGGGCAGAAAGAGTAGAGCTTTTCAATTATCCAAGGCTTCCTAGCAACACTTATGTACAACAAAGAAGGGACTGTAATTGCAATGGTCTAAACTTCCATAGCTAAATTGAACAGAGGTGCAGGAACTTTCCTGAAAACTAAGAGAGAAACAAACAGAGTAATGCTGAGCTTGAAAGGAACTTGTCAGACAAGTTCTGGCTCAATAGAATGGGCCTGCATCAGGAATACTTGAAAAGAGAATGAGGAGGACATCACAAGAGGTCAGCTGAATAGTGTTTCACCCACTGAAGTGTGAGAAGAATAATGCAAAGTCAAAAGTGCCATAAGAGAATAAGCAAGAAACTCTGCAAAAGCACCACCCTAAGAAAGGTCAGCTTTAGGACATCTGTCACACAGAGACAGCAATGCCAGGAACAAGAGCCCAAATGCAATTTTCTTCTTCTCTGATAGTCCCTGCTTCTCTTCAGAATGACACCGAGAGTTGTGTTAGCGAACAGAGGAAGAAATGTGATGAGAAAGAGAAGGAAGAATGGTCCAGATACCCCCATTTCCATTGGCAGAATTCAGAATTAGACGCAAGCTAGGAAGGAGGAGAAGGTATGGATTGGATGAAAGGTTAACAATTAGATTAGATTGGACTTTTCTATACCTGAAAATGAGACTATTCTAATCTCCAAAAATTTCAAGAAGAGCCTTAGCATATCATAAGCACAATACCATCCAGGTGTACAGGAAAGGAAATCTGACAAAGAAAGCTTGAAGAAGATGATATACCTTATCAAGTATACCTATTTGAGAACCTGGTTATAGAAGCATTTTAATTTCCTTTGTCATTCTCTTCCATTCTCTTTCTTCTGGTCTAATTATACTTTGGTAATTATTTTACTGGGATTTCAGGAAAGAGGGAAGATGAATACATGTGTTCAGTACCTTTTTTAACCACAAGTCCATGTAACTGCCTTTAATTTTCATGAAGAACTTCTTCAGGGAAGACTAAGTTGACTTACTGATATTTGAAATGAAAATTAAATATATAATAGGGTAGTTCTTTCTTTCCACTTAAATATTGGGTGTATTCCTCTTATATTAACTTACTTAAGAGAAAGGTGATAACTATGGTCCATAATCTCAGAGCTACCACCTGAATTCCTTTTTCTGAAAGGACAATCATTGACTGTCACATCTGCCACCTATAATTTGTTCTTGTTTAGCAAGGACACGTGTGCCCTTGCCAGAGAGAAACAGAGACCGAGAAAGAGGAAGAAGGAGTAAGTACTCCCTAATAAGGTGTGGTCACACCGAAATCTATTTTTCTCCTTTTCTCCATCTTGTCAGAATTTAGGCAAGGAGCACATGCACCCAGGATGTTTTTTAAGCCACCAGAACCAGGATTCTAACCATGGTTGGCCATGTGAGATCCAACTCCTTAATCACAGGATTGATCACAGAATTGGCCCTTTCCTGTGGTTTAATAAAAGATACTTAAATCTTTTCCATCTTAAAAAAAATACAATAAATAAATTCTCCATCAAACCAAGCTGCCTCCAACTACCTTATTTATTTTCTTCAATTTATAATTTGTTCTCTTTCCTCTAACTCATTTTCTTAAAGAACTATTTATTTAATTTTATTTATTATTATTATTTTAATTTGAGTAGAGAGACACAGAGCAAGAGAGAGGGAAAATGAGAAAGCACACTGCCAGGTCCAGGACTTGAACTGTCATCAGCCATGTGGAAGTTCAGTGCCTTAACCACCACACCACCTGCTGGTGCCCCTCTAACTCATTGTTGTGGCCATTTTCTTTATTATATTTTATAACATACTAATTATTAATATAAAATAACTAAAATCTGTAGAAAATAAAAATACTATTACCCTGTGTTAATCACCCACTTTTATCAAATACTGAGATTATGACATATTTTGTTTAGATCTTACCTAATAAAATATTATAGACAGTGACATTCTCTGTTCTTCTCCTTACTCTTTTCCCAGAGAAGATCACAATCATGAGGATAATTTACATATATGCTTTCACACTTTTCCCACACATGAATATATTTATAAGCATTGAATAATATTATTTTCAATGTTGGGAATCATCGTGAATGTTGCTTCTTCTTAAAGCTCAACTTTATATTTTTTGTATTATCTCTAGTCAAATATAGAACTCTAGTTCATTTTAACCACTGTATATTATTCCGCTGTATGAAGATATCACAAATGACCTATCCATTCTCTTTCTAATGACTAATTAGGTCATATTCGGTATTTTTCCTATTTCATTTGATGCTTTCCATGAACATTGTCATGGACATCTTGCCCACATGTGCTGTTCTGGAACAGAGGTACCTCTCTCCTTCCTCTAAGGAGTCCTCTTCACTAAGGGCCTTTCTGGTCAATCACATACTCCAGTGGCAGCCAAAAATGTGTTTACTCCCCGTGCTGAATTCTGTTGTCTGTTCACACAACCTGGTAACAGAAGTGAATCATTGTTTTAATCAAGGTTTTCTAGGGAAATGGAATCAATACAACAAGCAGAGTCACATAGAGGGGATTTATTGGGAGAATTGGTTAACATGATTATGGCAGCTGAGAAGTCCCATAAGCCATCTGCTGCTAGAACATTGGTAGTGTGGCTCAGTTCAACCCTGAAGGTGTCAGAAGCAGAGGAGCCAATGATATAATTCTCAGTCCAGGGTCAAAAGCCTGAAAAACTGGCATGAGAGAGAGAGAGGGAGCTGCTGACATAAGTCCTAGAGTTCTAAGGCAGGTGAGTCTTGAGTTCTGATGTCCAAGGCAACAGAAGAAGCTTCCTCTGCTCTCTAAGGAGATCAACCTACCTCTTGTTTTCCGGGGCCCCTCATTGATTGGATGCTGCCCACCACACTGAGAGCAGATCTTCACCTAGTGGTTTGTTTCCTGGAGTGTAATGCACCCAGAGAGGGCATGGAAGCTCCTCAGCCCTTTGTGCACACCTTGACCTATGCAGCTCTTTGAATTGTATCCTTTGTAATATCATTTATAATAAAGGGTAAACATAAGTTTATCTCTAGCAAACTCATTGAACCCAAGGAGAGGGCTGTGGGAATCCCAATTTATAGCCAGCCGTCAGGTGCATAGGTCATAATCTGTGTTTGTGACTTGCATCTGAAGTGGGAGGTAGTCTTGTAGGATTGACCCCTTAATCTTTGGGATCTATATATGGATCACGGCTCAAAATGGCCTCAATTATGCTAAGTACCCAACACCTCAGTCTTCAAAACAACATATTTTGCCTCAACATCTGCTTATCTTCGTGGATTTGAAAAACATGTTTATGAACATAGATGGAACAAAGACTGTAAGTGGCACTGCAGATAAGAACATATGACTACAATAAGACCCTTCTCTGAGAAACATATAATCCAAACTCTAACAGCTCAATACCATTCTGTTTTTGACAGTTCCTGTGCATGAACCAGAGCAGCTACTGTGCTCAAGTACCTTCTATGATAGAAGCAGCTCACTTTTCTGAGGCTAGAATCACTGAGACCCTGCCTTGCAGAATTGGATGGCCTTGGCCACCAGCGCTGTCTCAAGGATGCTTGGAAGTGGGCCTATGTTGTGCTGTGTTGCTGGAGGACTTCCTGGGAAAACCTTCATCAAAGGACCCATTCCAGTGAGGTTTCCAAATGGACTCTTGGTGTAGAGCCTCTTCATGGCGTGGTGTAGATATTTGGCCTTAGGCAGGCTCGTGTCCCTGTCCTTTACCCTACTATGCTTGCTTGCATATTAGGACATTTGATGAGGATAAAACCTTGACATTGTGGAAAGACACAAATGCTAATGGACTAATTCCCCACACTCTCTACAATTTGATACTATCCTTCAGTTTGGTAATCTCAGAACTGAATTGTATAAGAAAACACACAACTGGTGTCTACTGCATAACAGTTGTTAAAAGAAAAACTTTAGACAAATCTAATTTAGCAGAGTTTAACTGGGAAAAAAAAGATTCACACATCATGCAGCCCTCAGAATGGCTTTCTGGGGAACTCCAAAGTGTCCCACGGTTCAATAGCTTATGAGAAGGAAAAGAAAAGTGATATAAGAAACTGGAAGTGAGGGAAACGAAGTTGAAAAGCAGCTGGATTGGTTATAGCTTGGGGTTTGCCTGTATGAAGACAGTTTAAAGAGCAGACTGTCATTGATTGAAGTGTGGCTGCTGTGATTGGCTATGACTCAGCAAATTGTTAAAGAAACAGACTCTCCGGGCCAGCAGGTGGCATAGTGCTGGACTACCATGCAGTAGACCACAGTTCAATTCCGAGACCTAGTGGCTTGAAACTCATGCCAAGTGCATGTGCGTTCATGCACAAAATCCTGAGAGGAGAATGGAGGAGAAGGGATTGTGGTGTAGCCTCCCTCTGGAGGGGTGATTTATTACTTTGTCTATCCATCTCTCTGGTGAGTGCATGTACCCCATAGCAAAAAATCTCTTAAGAGAAAAAAAGAGAGAGAGAAAGAAAATAAAAAAAGAAACAAGCAGAATCCTAAGTGACACTGTGGTTTGTTTCCAAGAACTCAAGTATATGGGTATGGAGGCCTTCTCAGGCCAATATAGTTTGGTTTAACAATGTGTAAGGAAAACCCCACACATATCTGGTGTCAGAATTGTTGAATGATTATGTGAGTGGAGACGGAAAACACACTTTGATTTTTCTCCTGCGTGTATCCTGCAAAGAGCGAAATCCAAAGCCCTTTCACAATGGAGTTGGGAGGCCATAGGCCATTAAAGAAGAAGGACTTAGGGACCCACAGTTAGTGTAATGGCTATGTCACTGGACTCCTATGTAGTCGATCGCGGTTTGAGTCCCAGACCCAGTGGCTTAAACTCATGCTGGGCACATGTGCGTGCGTGCCCAAGATCCCGAGAGGAGAATGGAGGAGAAGGGATTGCGGCGTGGCCATCCCCCTTGGGGGGTGATTTCTCACTTTCTATCTCTCTGTCTGTCTGGCAAGCACACGCGCCCTATAGCAAAAAACCTCTCCAAAAAAAAAAAGAAAAGAAAAAAAAGAAGGACTTAGGTCCATTTCTACAGGTATCTGAGAATGTGAACTTCACACTTTGGCACCAGACATCTAGAATAGCTCAACATATGTGACAAGACATTATCACACTCTTATTTTATGAAAATATACAATATATTTTCTTCCTTTACCTTTCACTGGTCATGTAACCCTTCCATTCTTTCTAATTCCAGCAGAAATTTTTCTTCAAAAAACTTTAATTACCTTGTAGTGATTTAAAGTTTTTTGTCTTTACAAACTCTTGCCTTCCCTTACATCCCTGGAACACTTATTTAATCCTACCTTAACCTATGTTTCCTGAATTGTAATTCCTAAGACCCCAAATAAAGTTCTTCTGTTGTTCACAGATTTAGAGTTCGAAAGTGACTGATGTTACAGGATATCAGAGATGTGTGACCTGAATGATCTACTCTTCCCCAGTGCTGCTACAGAGGGAGAAAGGTCCCAGAGAGGTCTTTGATCCTCCAGTCTCCTCAGTAGCCTCAGGATGTGGACACAAGTTCTCTGGATTTCTAAACCTCCCATAGTTTGGTCAAAATTCCAAGTCCTTATTTGGATCTTCTTTATTGCTAGTTGCCAAGGAAAGAAAATTCCTCATCGAGAAGGGAAAGCCCTCATCTAGGTGAGTACTCTATTTTTGGAAGAGGAAGTTTTCATCTTGAATACTCTACTGCTATCAAGAGCATTGTCTTTCAAAATACTACTGACTGGCAACTGCCATCCAGAATGTTGGCTTTTATTTTTAAGATGTATTTATGTATTTAATTCCATTTGTTATTATTATTTTTTATATTTGACCAAAGAGAGACAGAGAGAGAAAGGCATGGAAAGTGAGAAAGCAAGCTTCAGGTCCGGGACCAGAACTGCAGTCAGCCATGTGGGAATTCAGTGCCTTTAACCAGCACAGCACTTGCTACGCCAATGCTGGCTTCCCTTATGACTAAAGATTATAGGCACTCTTCCTGTAAATTTCTGTCACAATGTACTAAAGTTACTCATGATCATTTGTAACTATGTTGGTTCATTTGGGGACTCTTCCACCAACTCTAAATTAGTTTGTATACTAACTTAGAAAAAAACTACACAACTAAAAAAATGAGTAAGAAGAGTACTTTAATTGGTATTTTGAAATCCCTAAATATGATAATAAATCTACTACCACTTCCCTTAGAAAAAAAATTCATAGTTATTTAAAAGATTTCCAAATTAGAAAAGTTTTCCGAAGCTTCTGTGGATATCTACTCTCTAGCACCTTCTAATCATTTTGGTCCTTTCAGTTATTTTTTGCACCCTCGTTATCCTTTACTGTCTGAGCTTCCTTTTCTCAGTGTTGACATTGAGCCCCTAGAAAAATAGTTCTGAAAATTCTCCCTTTATTTTTATTTTTTTTTTAATTTTTGCGATAGGGCACACATGCTTATCAGAGACAGACAGAGAAAGAGAAGAAAAGTAAGAAAGCACACCCCCAGGGGGATAAGGCCACACTGCAATCCCTTCTCCTCTTGGGAGTTTGGGCATGTACACACACACACACACACACAGCATATTTTCCAAGCTGCCAGTCCAGGACTCAAACCATGTAGTTGGTCTTGTGAGATCCAGCTGCCTTAATCTCCATGCTATCTGCTGGCCCAGTAAACTCTCCCTTTATAACAGTTCCTTTGAAAGTTAGATCTAAAGATGACAATACTAAAACAACCATGTTTGTTTCCTGATTGAGAGCAGAATTACATAATCTTTCCAGGACTTTCCCAAGGTTAAGAAGAATTCTATTGAATTTACCAATTAATTTGACCTTCTAACTAAAACTTACCAGCCTGGTTATTTTAATTTATATCAACTAATTGATTTTCTTATGAAGATTATAATGGCTAAGTAATAGATAAACACAGCTGACTAAAGAGACCCTACAGGAGATTTTTAAAAAGTGAGTGCAAGAGCTGAGACAGATGCTCAAAGGATTGCCTGAAAGCTCCACAAGTAAATTATCATTTTATTTTTCAAGCACATCGATTAGCATCACATCCACCAGTGCAGTCAATGGCCTGATGAATCTGTTTATGATTATTAGAGCTGCTTTGAGAAAACTTTCTACCAACATTCTTGCACTAAGCAACTGACAGATGAAACCAATAGTCTATTTAACTCTAACTTGTTGGCCAGTCTTCAGGATGACTTAATAAGCATGTTAGTTAAACAACACACACTGACCTGGACCAAAAAAGCCCCAAAGAATTAGTTACCCTTCCTGAACAACTCTCTCAAGTCCTTGCTCAAAAGACTAAAGAAATATGATCTACTCAAATGGTCTGTTAAAAAACATCAGAGACTTCAAGCTAAAATTCTCCAGACTCTCTGAAGACTTCTCACCCAACCCAGAAAAAAATGAAGCAGATGACATCAGATGTAGACAACCATCATCCTGAAAATTAGGATCTGATCTATGTAATTATTTTTCTTTATATGCTACCCTATGTTAACACCTGTAGTTCTAACACTTTCCTCCAATGGGCCCAATCTTATGTTGATTTTTAAAACACATCCATGCCAGCCTCATAGTATAGTATCTAGGCGCTGCAGAGAGAGCCAGATCCTGCATGGCCAATCAGGCTTCAAATCCCAGTGCCAGACACAAAAAACATGCTAGGCGTGTGTGTGCAAGTGCCTGGCATCCTGATGGGATTCTTGGGCTTTAGGGCACTCACCACATATGTTTCGAGCCGCTGGGTTTGGGTCTCGAACTGTGCGATCGGCCACGTGGTATCCTGCCACCTTAAAGACCATACATACCTCTGGCTGGCCCCAGTATGGTTTTTTAAAGCAGGCACACAATATGTAATAATCAAATAATGGATACAGACATGTTCATCTGCTTCAGCATCAAGAAATACAATATATTATGCATATTCAATAATAGTTCTACTAATTTTTTTTAAAAAAATATACATTTGTCAATGACATTTCTAGCTCTGCTGTGGTACACCATTCTATAACCTATTTTACTTGGTTACATGTCTTGTTGGGTTACTTAATCATTTTTCCCCAAGCCCCCTAGAATTCTTAAATACAACTCTCCTTTGTTTAGGGAAATTTACTGGAGGAACTTATCCAAGTGCATGTTTGTGTGTGTACTGTGTCACATTTTACCTTCAGTTCAGAATGAGAAGGGGTTTAAGTATGCTTACACTACCTGCACCTTCATTATTTTACTATAAGAATTATAACATGCTAAAGATAGCGCATTGTACAATTTTATTGCTTGAGAATAGATCAGCACACAATTAAGAATTTTCATGTAGAACTCATTGACCTTAAGGCCTCTTTGGATTTTAGATGTTGTGTGACACTGTGATCTATAAAGAAATATATATGGAGTCAGCAGGTGGCGTAGTGGCGAAAGTACTGGATTCCCACATGGTGAACCACAGTTGGAGTCCTAGACCAGGAGGCTTGAAACTCACACCCGGCACATGTGCATGTGTACCTGCCCAAAATCTCAAGAGGAGAATGAAGGAGAAATGATAGTGGCAAGTCCATCACCCCTGGGGGGGAGGGTGATTTCTCACTTTCTCTCTTTTTCTCTGTGTGTGTGTGTGTGTGTGTGTGTGTGTGTATGTGTGTGTCTCCAGCGGGTGCATGCACCCAATAGCAAAAATCTCTTTAAAAAAATATATATACATATATATGTATGTGTGTGTATAACAAAGTCACTATTCACCACTGTGTGTACATAAAACAATATATTTTCAGAAAAAAAAAATCCAGTGTTCATGTCTCTCACCAAACTAATTAAATTAGACTCTCTAGGAAGCCAGATGCTTTCAGTGTGCAGCAAAGTTTGAGAGCCAGCAGCATAGAAGGAACTCAGTAACATTTGCTGGATGGGTAGATGGATGGATGGATGACTAACAGGACATTACAAATCAGAAGAAATGGGCTCTGACTCTACCACTGCCACTAATGTGCTATGTGACTTACATGTCACTCTATTTTTCTGAATACTTATTATTGCAGAAGATGCATCCAAGGTTCCTTCCTGCTTTAGAACTCGATGATTCCCCTTCTCTTTTTTTTGGAGAAGATTTTGCTATAGGGCGCTTACGCTTGCTGGAAAGACAGAGAGAGACAGAGAGACAGAAAGTGAGAAATCACCCCCCAGGAGGGATGGCCACGTTGCAATCCCTTCTCCTCCACCCTCCTCTCGGGATCTTGGGCACGAACGCACACGCTCCTGGCGTGAGTTTCAGCCACCGGGGCCAGGACTCGAACCGTGGTCAACTGCATGGGAGTCCAGCGACATAGTCATTACGCTAACTGTTGGTCCCATGATTCCCCTTCTTGATCATGTCAAAAACCCAGTCTGCAGACAGAATGATTGAGGTCTTACAGAAAATTTCAACGAAGATAAAGGTAATGGGAAGCTCATTAGGCACTCGACTACTAGGAAATTGAGAGCATTAGTGAAGTTCCAAAGATTCTGACAATTAGAAGAACAGAACACAGCTCTGTACTATAAGTGCAGAGGAGAGTTAGGATGACTTATTACTAATCCCCAGACAGAATGTGCATGAGGGGTACCTGGAGCCAGGAGAGGGACAGCTGCATTCATCTGAGATTTCTCATAAATCCCCTTCTCTGTAGTTCAGTCTTCTCCAAGGCTGTGCAAGGGGTTCCTTTCTCAACTGTGTGCTCAAACTTTCTTGACTGCTGCCACATCTGTTTTGCCAAAATTGATGGGGGGAGGGGGAGAGAGCCAACTCAACTCTGTTACTGTCTTCCTACCAACAATAAAAATAGGAGAATCTCTTACTGGGAAAGCTAGCCATTCATGTTTATTTAAAATGTTGCAAAGCATTTACAATAGGGGATTTGCAGGGGGGCCTACCTGGGTCCTATTATTCTCCAGTCTCTGGCCCTAAGGCTTCTTTCTTTCTTTCTTTTCTTTTTTTTAAGAGGTTTTTGCTATAGGGCAAGTGTGCGCCAAAAAGACAGAGAGACAGAGAGAAAGTGAGAAATCACCCCTCAGGGGGATGGGCTTAAGCCACTGGGTCTGGGACTCTAACACAGGAGTCCAGCAATATAGCCATTTTGCCAACTGCTGATCCCACTAGGCTGCTTTATATACAGCTATTTAGGCTTACCTGTTCCATGAGATTTTGCTACCTGTTCCTAGGCATCAGTACCTATCAGTCACCCAACAGTAGTCACAAATGATTATTACTCCACGTTTCTCCTCAACTTACACTATACCAGTGAAGGTCAGTTTTAAGGTTATGAAAACAACACATTTGAGAAGTTAAGAGGTGGCTTTTTGGGAAGTGAGTTTTATTGACTTCACAGTGAGTGAGAGCAAGACGATTCTGACCTGAACACTTCACTTGTATATTCAGATTTCTCAAATTGTTGTGGCTTTGGGGTAGGGGGTCATATTTTTCAAGTTATTGGGGCTTTGGGGTGGTGGGTAACACACAGCTTTGTGTAATATTTGCAAGGTACATTTAACAATGAAATGGTAGAGTTAAGGCCTTTCCAACTACTTGTGCGCTATTGCTTTATCACTATAAACTCCAGGAGGAGTATAAAAGATACAGAGTTTTTTCAAGAACAAACATTTACTGACTGAGTCCCTACTTTTTAAGATGTTAGGGATGCAAATAGAAAAACAAACTCCTCTCTGAGCGCAAGGAGCTCATGTCTCCCCGCTTCCCCTTTGCCTTCTCCCAGAGGGAAAGATCTCTTCCATAGCAAACGTTTTCACCTTAAGTCCCCACTTTATTACTTAAAAGAAGTTGGGAAGCCATTATGGGGTGGGCATGAGCTTGTGACCAGGAAGACCGTTTTATATAGCGGCTATCCTTCGGCACAGAGAAAGAGGTGCACCGTGGAAGTGATGTGGCAGCTAAAATGACACTTAAGTCCGCTTTCTCAGAAACGTCCTTTCTCCAGAGTGACCCAGACACCGGAGACGGCGGGACAGGGGCACTATCCCAGGGAGGTTTCCTGGGAACCCGATTCCATTACCTAGAACCTCAGGACAGCGGGCGTGACGAATCTCTTCTCCAGAGCTCCGTTCCCGGCCCATACGTGACCAGTTTTCCCGAGTACGTCCTTAATATGGGCTAGAACCGGTTTGGGTCTGGGTCAAAATCCCCAAACTCATCTGTGCTCGGGCTCTCTTGAGAGCGAGGGAGCTTCCGAAGTCTGGCTAGCGAACAGGACCAGACGCCCTTGGGGAATCCGATGCCCAAGACAGACAAGGAAGGGAGCCGGATGCAAAATGTCCTCAAGATGGAGGAATAACCCCCTTAATAAGGGCTTCAGAGTCAAATTCAGGGGCCCTGCGCGAAGATCTCTAACAGTCCAGCCCTGGCGGCCGGCGGGGACAGAAACTCTGAGTCGCGACTGAAGATCCGGGTCCCTGCCAGACCCAGCCTCGCTGCATACACTCGCGCGCAGGCGCAGTTGTGCGGCGCTGCCGCCCCAGCGCGCATGCTCCGCCTGCCGGACGCTCCCCGCCGGCTTCGGAGGCGGCGGCCGCTGTGGAGGAAGTTTCCGCTTTGCACTCCACCCCGGTAGCAGCTTAGCGCCGGGGACAGCTTCCTCCCGCACTTCGCGGGCTTTGCAGCCGCTTCACTTCAGCCCGTCCGGACCATGGGGTTGCCCAAGGGACCGGAGGGCCAGGATCTCCCAGAGGTAAGGCACCCCCTCTCCCTGGCACGTCGGGGCTCCAGAGGAGAGGGCCCAGCCCTGGGGGTGACGGACAGAGGGGCCGAGGTGCGCAGGGGCGCCCCGCCCCCTGCCCAGGTGTGTCCCCTGGGGGAGCAGAAGCCTCGTCTGCGGCTGGGAGGAAGCAGGCCCCCGCCCGGGCAAGGGGCAGCGGGTGGGTGGGGCAAACTTCAGCTGCCCGGGGTCTCCTGGAGCGGAGGTGGCCTTTCTAGCCCGAACCCTGTCTTGACGCAGCCCCACACGTCGTAGGGCCTGGGCTTCCACCTCTGTCGCTGCCCCGGGCCGTGACGCCCACCCAGCCTGCGGCAGGGCTAGCCCCGATGGCCAAAGCTGCTGCGCGCAGAGTCACGAGACGCTCGCTCTGAGACCGTCCGGGCTCAGGTTGTGCAAAGGGCGGTGACCTTGGGGCGCCTGCCTTCGTCTTGGGGGGGAGGGGAGAGGGCTCATGAGGTGAGGTCAGCGTCCCCTTTGTATTTATCCAGCTGCGGCAGCGAGAGGAAGTTCGGGATCGTGTAGGCGCCCTGGTCGTGTTCTGTTGGGTTTGCTCTGCGGTGTTCCTGGTAGGGACGCGCACTCCAGCGGTGCGGTGTGGCTGGGCATTTAGCCCCAGGCGGAAATATTGCCTCTTCTGCAGAGACAGCGGATGCCTTTCCAGAGGTGTTCGTTACTAAGTTCTCACTAGGCGCTAGGAACAGGATAAGCAATGGTTTCTAGAGTTCCACGTTGTCTGGGAATAGAAGGAATATGCATTCCGTTTCTTTGGCTGCGAGTATCACTTTAGCTAACTGATTTGCATCTGTCTACTCTAAAAGTTGATTTATTCAAAAACTAGTCCAGTTACTAGATCTGGAGAGAAATGGAATCCACGCAGCACTTCTATTGCCTTAAGGTTCTGAAGCAAGCATTTTCCTTGACGTGGGGTGTAGACCCCGCACATTTAACCTACCTTTGAAAATCTTACTTCTTTGCCCACCTTCCAGATCCTCAGTTTTTTCATCCTACCAGTACCGCTGATTGAGGGAATATACAGTCCTTTGCCCAGAAGCTGGGATACAGAGATGGAAGGACAAACTTCAGTGTGTGTTCCCAGGATGCAAGTCCATTTTGGTGTCTTAGGAAAACGTAACAAGTATAATGTCAAAAGCCCTGTATTAGGTTAAAACCTTACACATTGTTTTGATAGGACCCAGAATTGTGAAGAGTAAGATCTATACTGTGATATTATAAATTCTCTCTCTCTCTCTCTCCTACCCCCCTTCTCATTTCTTTATTCTGGGCTCTCATTGAGTGTTCATCTGGCCTTTTGCTGAAGCCTGCTGTCTGGTCTCCCAGAGTCTACCTTAAATCTTTCCAACTCAGTGTCAAAAGGGTTTTTCCTGAAGTACAAAACAACCTACTCCTGTGTGTCTTTCCTTTAACTCTGCACTGACTGTTAGGTGGCTGGTTTGGATTTGCCACTGTTTTCCAAGAGCCTAAGACAGTTTCTGGCAATTAGGAGTTGAGAGTGAACACACGTAGTATAATTTCTATCATTTAGTTCAAAGACCAGTAAATATAAGTATGGATAGTCTGTGTCATCAAGCTGTCATTAGGCCAGTTAATTCATTAAATTAAAATTTGTTAACTCCTGGGACCAGCAGTTAGCGTAATGGCTATGTCGCTGGACTCCCATGTAGTCGACCGCTGTTCAAGTCTTGGACTCAGTGGCTTAAAACTCACGCTGAGAGGAGAATGGAGGAGAAGGGATTGCAGCGAGGCCATCCCCCCTGGGGGGTGACTTCTGTCTCTCTGTCTCTCTCTGTCAGGTGAGCACACGCGCCCTATAGCAAAAACCTCTCCAAAAAAAAAAAAATTGTTAACTCCTTATGCTATGTACGTGAAAGGTAGAAAGGTAGCCAGACTTGGTTCTGCCTTCCAGGATGTAGGAACTACAGTGCAAGGCAATTGAAAATTTATTGGGCCTGGTTTAAGAGTTCACAGTCATTCATATGCATCAGAATTTTAGTTTTAACTACTGGATGTATTAACCAGCCTGGTGGCTTTATGTGGCTTCAAAAGAGGGTATTCTTTCATTTTCTGTGTATTAACTAGTGGCCCTTTTCCATTTTGTTTCAGAGTTAATCTTGCAAAGTGAATTTGGAGCCCAGCATCCCCATTTTTAATTTCTACTCTTTGTTAATATGTATACACTATTTGAGTGTCTTGTGGAAAAAGTTATGTCATAGCTTATATTGCAAAAGTGCACTTCTTCATTCTGGGGGATGAGTGGGTGAAAAACATGGGGCATACAATTATAATGGGGTGGCTTATGGTGCTTATTAAAAAGGAGTTGAGGCAGGGATGATCCTCCTATGCTTTACTGTCCTCTTTTTGGAAATGTTTCAGGATAAGTGATATTTTCATGATAAATGATGATTGAGCAAATGAAAAGTTTGTATTTCCCAATACTTGAAATACTTAATATCATCTCATTTTCTTCTGCTGCTCTATTTTTGTGAACCATACTACACTTTTTTAAGAAAAGTTTTTCAAATTTGTAATGTCATAGAGCACATGTGTGTGCTAGAGAGAAAGCTCCTCCCAATGAACCTGGTCATTGCTACAGTTCCTGTACCTCCTTTCCATCAGCATCCTGATCATGAGCATCCTTATCATGTATTCACACATGTCTAGTGTATTTTTCAAGTCACTGGGACCAGGATTCAAGCCCTGGTTAGCCATGTGGGATCTGACTCACTCCACTCAGCACTATGGGATTGGCCCATAACTAATCTTTATCTTCTCTTTTCTTTGAGTGGCTTCACTTGTAGATGTTTTTCAGTCATCCCAGATCTTTTGTAAAAGGAGCAAAAGTTATAATTAATAATACTATATTTATTTTTGAATGTTGACTAAGAATTAGTCAATGTTAACCTTGGGACCCTATTATAGATTGGACCAAGGTTATTTGCAAAAGAGAGAAGTAAAATGAACACTGGCTCAAGGCTGTAAGCTGCCACCCCATTTCTGTTTCATCGTAAGTGGTTATCAGTCACTTTAACAATTTTAAGTTCAACCATATATTAATATGTATTACTTATTTCCTGATAGTTTGTAGTTAAAAATAAGCTTGATTTTCCATAGTCAGTGTCATGAGTGTGAAAACATTTTGTTAGAACATGACAGGTTTGGGACTAGCAGTTAGCGTAATGGCTATGTCGCTGGACTCCCATGTAGTCGACCACGGTTCGCATCCCGGACTCGGTGGCTTAAAACTCACGCCGGGCGCGTGTGCATGCGTGCCCAAGATCCTGAGAGGAGAATGGAGGAGAAGGGATTGCGGCATCGCCATCCTCCCTGGGGGGTGATTTCTCGCTTTATGTCTCTCTGTCTCTTTCTGTCTTTCTGGCGAGCATACGTGCCCTATAGCAAGAAAAAAAAAAAAACCTCTCAAAAAAAAAAAAAAAAAGCACATGACAGGTTTAG